AAAATTAAATATCGCGGAATGTATTCAAAGCTTAAAATAATCTTAAGAAATGTTTAAAATTCCAAATATCTGACGATTTAATTTTAAAAAATTTGTCGAACTAACTACAATGCTTGCTAGAGATTTAGGTATTGATGCATCATTTTCTATGTTGAAGCTTAGAAAAAGGTCCATTTATTTGATTACGATTGCAGATGAACCAGTTTCAAATCCCGTTTAGCAGTTCAAGATTGCTTTGTATTTTGCAGTTGTTAAAGACGCCATCTCCTCAGTAACTGAAAGATTTAACTTATTATCTGAGTGCTATCCAATATTCTGCTTTCTGCATGAGTTTTTTTTTTCAGGTGAAAAACAGCCAACTAAATTATAGTTAAAAATGATCCCATTTCCTGTATTCCAAATTTTACTCTGGCATTAAGAATTTTTTAACCTTGCCACCTGTTGGTGGCTTCAAGCAAAAGAAATTTCAGTAAATTAAAAATTAATTAAGAAATAATTTGACATAAGAAATACTCGTACTTACAGATTTGGCCATCATCCCCATAGAATCCAAATTCTCTGAAAGATATCAGTGAAATAATTGACAACTTTGTTTCCCAGTAAGCCAGAAAAGTTAGTTATAAATAATTATTATGGCTATTAAGTATTATTTGTAGAAGAACTGATTTATATACTTTTCGTTCCACGAGATTTATGCTTAAGTACTTTTTGTTTATACAAATAAGAAAACTAGAATATCTACGTCACGTGATGAGAGGACCAAAATATGAAATTTTGAGAGTCATAATACAGGGAAAGATTCAAGGAAGATCTGTTGGCCGAATTCTCGGCTGAAGAATTAACGTGATTGGTATCGATGCATATCGATTGATTAGCTAAGAGCATCAAGTTTAAAAATAAAAATAAGCATAATTGCCAATCTTCGTAAGGAGACAGTACCTAAGAAGAAGACTTTTTGTTATTAGATTATATTTTCTGAGTGAATACTTTTACTATTACACTACAACATTCTCTAGAGGAGGAAACGACACATCAGGTCTTTACACGCGCGGCGACCGACTTTGTAGCATCAGCTCTGGTTGCCAATAAATGTTACTAATAACACAACCAACAGTAACAAAAATTTGAATATACTAGAATTACTAGAAATAGCATTTTTGTGAAGAAGAAGTACGACAACAAAGCTTAAAAGCAAGTAAAGCGGCGGGATCTCTTAATGACGCAATTTGGAAGAACAAACACCTAAGACAAGATACAAAAACAAGAATCTACAAAGCAGCAATTAGACCTATATCAACATACAAGGCGGAGACAAGACCTGACGCGTCTAAAACGAGACAACTACTAGAAACAACAGAGATGGAAATACTCCGACGAATATCAGAACATGTCAATGTAGAAAACATAAATGGATGGGTGCCAAAACGGAAACAGGAGTGAAACGAACACATTAGTAGAATGGCAGTGGATATGATAGTACGAATAGCACGAGATAAAGTTACCAAATGACGAAGAAGTATTGGCAGACCAAGAAAAAGATGGTGCGATAATTTAAACAATTTAGGAGGCTAATATTGAAGAAGAAAAAGGCTTTAAAGCCTACATACAAGATGGGAGAAGAAAAAGAAGAAGATTGGTAATAGATGCGAAAGAAGGATGTAGGGCCTTTTTATAGGATCAGAACCATTTTACAGTAACCCAAAAAGCCGAATCAGCGAAGATGTTCGGACATGGAAAAAATAACTTAGTTCAGCTTTCTGTAAATATATTAGGAGCAAACATTAAGGTTATTAAAAAAGTAATTTTCCGTCGATTATTTAAAATGTAAAATAAATACGATAGCATGTTACCTTCAGGGCTCTACTAGACTTTAAAGTTTTGTAAATTGTACGTTTGTACAGACCTAAATCATATACTTCAAATAATACACAAATTAAATTTAAAAGATATTTTATTTAAGATAATTTAATTTTATTTTATTTAAGATATTTTATTAAGATATTTAAGATAATGGTATCCACAACAGATCTTAGATTTTCGGGTAGAAATCGATGGTACATAATTAGTTAAAAAATATGCTTCGCTCCATCCTTAAAAGACGCTTTTTGCTTAATTCTGGCCCAAATCAGAGCATATACTTTAACAACATAGTTTACAAGCAATTGCAAAGTTTCTGATGGATAAGCGTACTTACATAAAGTCTGAGTAGACGATTAGCAAGTAGTACACCATCTGGAGTGGGCCATTTCTCCAGGTTGACGGTTTGCCAATTCAGGAGTACAGAAACCGGTTAATACTGCTTGACATATTTCATATAGATATTTTTGATCTGTACTTAATTCATTGACCACATTTTTTGGCAAGTCAGGCAAATTACCATTCACAGCAGAAAAAGTCACGGTGGGTTTATTTTCATAAGCAACTAACTGTTTTCCAATAGGTCCGGAGTATTCTCTAGGATACGAAGTAGAACCATCTATGGTCAGGAACAAGTGACGAAATGATAACTACTTGGCATGAAGCAAACAAACGCACCATTGTAACAGTCTCTCCAAATACTCCTCTAAATATTGAATCACACCACCCTTCCAGCCAATATTAGTTGCAGTTCCATCACACCAACACATCATCTAAATTCAAACTTTGACCCTCAAAAAAAGTTGTGATCGAAGTAAAACTTCCATTAACAGTGTCATGAGTAGGCGTTGTATGTCCCAAATAAATTGATCCGGGTTTTGATAACAATGAGATGTGTTTCTTCAAAAATCTCTTTGTTGTGGTAACGATTCCCTATTTTCTCATTTATCAGGGTCTTATCGTTTCGTCCATCAAAGTAAATGCTATTTACAACAATACCTGACAACATCTTTTGAAGCATCTCTTCGGGCTTTACATAAAGCTCTGTAGATTTTGTTTTTATCCATAACCAGTGTCAGAATCTCGGTAGAAACCAAACCCACGTCAACCAAAACGGCAGGAGTAACAGCAGCTGCAGATCGCCATCATAAACCGTATCTATCACTGACTTTAGCAACTGTTGGCAACCGCAACGTATTTCTATTAAACGTGGAGTCGATGATGTCTCTGTTAAGAAAGAGTCATGCACTGCTACTTCATCACAAGTTGCTGATACAGAATCGGTCGTTTTGAGTAGCATACAACTTTTTTGTTATCCATTGATCTCTATTTTCTCTGCTGTCGTTCATGAATCTGGCAGTTTCTTTCTTAAACCGCTATAACCATTTCTGCCATTCTTTGATCCAACAGAAAGTCTCTACATTGATGGGAACTTTTTTATGTTTTAAACATGAACAAGATTCAATAGAAATTCATTACAAGCAGCAACGTCGAAAAGCTTTTCAGCTGACTCTATAAAATACTTCACTTTGTTTTCAAAACTGTTATTTCGTTTGCTTTTGAGTGTCTTTTCAAACTGAGGTACTTTTCGAAATAATATTTTAGTAACTGAATAATCCGTTCTCTTAGTTACGATTGGGACCGAAGCTTTTGTCCAAATATTAATAACATTCTTCAGAAACAATGGCATATATTTCTGAATTGGATGGATCCATTCCATTATACTTTAATTTATAGATCGTTCTTCACAAATAGAACACATTTCATAACATATCTTATAAGTTGGTAGCTCGTCGATCGTCAAGTTCTTTGTAAAGGTCCCATTATGGAACAAGTAGTCTCACTACGCCTAGAACTCATGATTTAAAACTCACAAAATCAGCTTTTGACACTAAAACAAACGCAACGGTAATGATGTTGAACGATCGAACGACGTGTCGACCACCCGAGCCACCTTCTCCTTCTACTCGTCTTTCTCCTACCATCAAAGTAGATCTGACGTAACCAGTCAGTCAAGTTCACAGAATTTTCTAAACTTTAACGGAACGTATAATACGACGCAGTATTATACAAATAGTATAGTACAAATCTCAAATTATTTTAGTTCAGGAGACGAAAATAATATTATCACAAAAATAACAATTTTTTCAAACTTTGAAGATCGGTAGAACCCTTAAGATATATTTTTATTTTATTTCTAAGAATACTGTGATAATCTATTAGCAATTCCATAAATTTTAAGAGGTCTTGCATTAAAGTAATGTTTTATATTTACTTCAGGATGCGAAATTAAGTATAGTGAAATATTACCATAAATATTTCACTATACTTAATTTCGCATCCTGAAGTAAATATAAAACATTATTTAATGCAATTTACAATTTTTCAAAACTTTAAGTTCGTATATGCCCTAAGATAACCTAAGATATATGATATGTGTCATACGAGCAATACCCCAATAATCTTATAAAACAAAAACAAAAAGCCGATTTTTCGCGACACCGTAGTGCACATTCTGCAAAAATGCACCCGAACGAATAAACATATTGTCTGAAACTAAGGGCTCATTATTTGCCAATGCCAATACATACATGAAACAACTGTTTAGTAACTGATCAGATAAAAAACGTAACTCCGACACAGATATTAGACTCTCCTAGAAGTCCAGATCTTTTTTACCAAAGTATATTTTTACTTTACGATAAAAACAAAATATGTTTCGGACCACAGACAGTGTGGATGAGTCTTTAAGTCCCAATGAATGCTTTATCTGCAATCTACAAACTGCAGTGGATGATTAGGAATACTTTTTACTTTCTACCATTCTGAAATCAAAGAAAATTATGAATTTACAACGTCTTATATTAAAAACTGTCGAAAAGAAGTTAAATTCGACGAATTCGATTAAACAACAAAAAAATCAAAATTTGCTGATAAAATTTTGTGCGTCATTTTCGAAGACTGTTTTTTAATTTTATTTCTCTCGACGGAGTTTATTATCATCGTTATATTTACTCAACTATTTTTAATAATTTCTTTAAATCTTTATGAGTCCGGTCCTGCTTTAATAATTAAATAAATAAAACATCGATAACCTATTGAATTTAATAGAAATATTTTGATTCTCGTGCGAACAAACTACATAAAGATATAGTCACAATTTGGTAAAACACTATTATTGATAAATTTCCTTAAAAAGCGATAGGAATTCCCAGATAACACGTAAATGGATTTTAATGTGTTTTGAATTTACTGCTTCGAGCACCAGTCCTACAGAAGTCGTCTAGCGAGATTCTTCTTCAGAAGTACGGTTAGACAAACAAAAAACTTGTTATACACATTGCCTTTTGGCTTACTTCCAACGACACATTTCGAAGAATTGAGAGTATGAGTCCTTAATAAGGAATTTTTGGAAAAAAAGTTGTAAGCTACTTTAACGAACCGAGTATGACAAGTGACGGTTTTATAAAATGCTTCCTTTGTTTTTATTTTGTTTCAAGTAAGATGCAATAATTTAAAAGTGATTACCAACGGTTAACAACATTATTTTTAGGTGTTTTAGTTACAAGTAATGGATATACTATAAGTGTAAATGAAAATTTTAATAATAATAGTTTAGTGAGGTCTCCAAGAGCAGTTAAAAAATGTGACGGGTAAGTGAAAATATTTTCATATTTATAATCGATGTTATTATTAAGAAATAATTTTTGATTTACTCAAGGTTAATTATGCCATCTACTATATAGTTAATTAGCAGAATATTTTGGTAGTTATCTTCATACAACAACATGACTAGACACTAGACAGGTCCGGAGTCAGTCATTTTTACTTTTCTAAAGCTTAATTTATATTTAATACTTGCCAAAAATACCATTTACTTGGGACTTTATTGGTGAAATTTGTTTATTAATTTTTTAGCAACTTCTGGAAAAACTCTTCTGCTTCTTTTCTTGGACTAAAAAACTTAACTCTCAAAACTAAAATTTCGTGCTATAGGTTTTAAACATTACGGTCTAATTATAGAAACTCCATAGTAACCGGTCAATGAAAGCGATACATTGTACCTATTGATCTCATGAGAATCATAAAAAATGGCAAAACAATTATTTATTTGCCACCTTTATAAAAACTGGGTTGATTTGCAGCAAAATACAAAAATTTCATACGAAAGCTGCACTCTTTATCTTTAAAACGCATCTTGATTTTGTCGATAGGACACTTGGATCAAAAAATATAAAATTTTTATCGTCGAGCTGATACAAATTTTAATAAACGTTAATTTCGCGCGTGTAACTGACATTTAAAATCGTCAATCACTTCAATCGTTGTGCCTGAGAATAAATATTCGCTACTGGAGAGATACCATTATTAAAGCATAGTAGAATTTTTTTTAAACGGCAACACGATTTTTATAATTTCCAAGTTTAAAACGTATAAACACGAGTTTGTCTTATTCCAATAGTATACCAATATCCATTATATCGCTGAATGCACATAATTCAATATCTTCCGTAGTATATAGCCAGAAAACCAGTTCTTTGTATTCCAGGTACGTCCACCTCAATATAATTCGAAAGATCAAAAATGGAGTTACGAAGAAAAATCTGATTTTTCAAATTCTACATATGAACCGCAAATGTTTTCTACCTATCCAAAGAAAAAAAAAACGAAACGAACATAACATAAAAAAGCAAATATCTGTTTACACTGTTTTAGTATATCCCTAAATTAGTAATTATTTTTATTTCTTACTTCTGTGTTCACAATTTAAAACGTTTAGTATATTCCCGTCGTTTTGTTCTTTTTCTACGTTTGTTTGGAGTTCTTTCCCCTATCAAATTATTCATATTTCAATAATACTATCTTTTATATAATACTAAGTTTTACAACACAAAATTAGAAAAAATCTTCCGCGTCATCGTTTGATTTGACCAAATTTGAACATCACACTTTTGTTGGGCAATTTGTGAGCGTAAAGATGAATTTCGCTCTCCCATTAATTTTTTGACGGGCGAACTACTTTTAATTGACGTTTTAACCAACTTGTAGTGTTATGTAGCTCATTTAAATTTGTACCAAATTAGTACTTTGTATAGTAAAGCTTTGCATAGTAAATAGTGCTTTCTTTCTTTTTAATTGTCTTTTCAAAAGCACTTTTAGCGACCGTGAAAATTAAAATCGATTAACAACTAATGAAGTTAATCAAATTAGTTACAAGACCAACATAACAAAGATAGTACCATAACCTAAATAACAACAATGTAAGCAAAGTTAAAGCAGAAGACCAATTCACTAAAAATATTCCAACACCGGGAGAAATTAGACAAGGCGACAGTTTAAACACCTTCTTGTTTAACCTACTCATGGACAAAATTATAAACAAAGTAACATCTTGAATCTCGGATACAGAATGGCAACAAAAGAATTGGTATGGTGTGTTACGCAGATAATGCAGCAATTATTGTCGAATCAAAAGATGATCTTCAGAGACAGCTCTTTCAGTTCTTTCAAATAAGCCGCCAACTAAATATGACTATTTCTACCAACAATACTAAATGTGTGACAATAGCAAAAGATCCGCTCAGGTGGAAGTTAGGGGTTGAGAACAACCCCATAGAACAGGTGATGCAATTCAGATATCTGGGCATAGATATATCCAGCACACACGACCCAGTAAAGGACCTAAGGAGTCAGATCAACAAAGCATCCGCATTGTCAGGATATCTGCGAGAGATAGTCTGGTCAAATCCGTATTTGCGCACAGATAGTAAAATTAGAATCTACAATACTTGCATACGACCGATCATGGCATATGGCATAGAAGTGCGCGAAGATACCAACAAAACGAAACAGATGCTAAGGGTTGCCAAAATGAAAACCCTAAGAACAATAGTGGGCAAAATAAGAAGAGACAGGGTGAGAAATACAAACGTTAGAGAGCAGTGCAAAATTCAAGATATTGTAAGATGGGGAAGTCAGCGTAAGAGGAAGTGGTACAATCATGTAAGACGAATGGATGGGATAGAACTCCCAAAAATTGCCCTGGAAAACAACCCGCCCGGTTCAAGACCTCCTGGAAGACCACCTAAAAGATGGAGGGCTGGTTGGCAATCTACCTCCAAGGAAATTAACCAGAGGCAGCTTCAGAATTAAACAGATTGAAAGATCTCCAAGAAGTAGAAGAAGAAGTTATAAGTCTAAAATTTTAACAATTTTTAAAAAAATAGCTATCTTCTTCTAATCGACGGATTTAATTTTTTCAAAATCGGTTTGAAATCTTGCATGCCTTCTATATGAAAAAGTTTTTGAAGTATCTAGAAGTTTTAATTTTTGACCTGAATAATTTTGAAAATTATTAATTTTAAAAAAACTTATACTGCAAAATGATTCTGCAAAACTATTAAATCGATATGTCAAGAAAATATTGCATTATGATTAAACGTATTAAAGAGTTTTCTTTCTCGGAAAAGGAAGGTCCGAAGTTTGATTTTAGTATGGGAAATAAACACCAAAAAAATATTTTGTCAATGTTTTATATTATTTTCTAATAATAATAATTCTTAAGATTGGAAACTAGCATTATCTTAAGTAAAATTTATTTACAAAACTTTTATGTTTTACAAAGTTATTCTAAAACCAACAGTTCTTGATATATTTTCAAAAAAAGGAAGGAAAAATATCGATTTTTTTTAATTTTTTCATATTTTTTTTATAAAAAGTTAAGCCGACATTTTATAACTTACGCATAGTGAAATTATCATTTTTAGTAATATTTTAAAGCGATTTATGCAAAACACTACTTTATACGCTTAACATCCAAAAATCGTTATTTTAAACAGATATCGTCTGGACTAATAGTAATGACTACGGCTTGAGCTTTTCCGATCTTAAAGCCAGACTCAAACGACTCGTGTACTTGGCGAATAATCGTCACTTGTTGTGATACTTACCATGAGTGTGAGTGGGTTACTCATACAATTATTTGTCACTCGTTTCCCGTCGTTAGTTTTCCATATGTTGTCGGTAAAAAATGACCCGAGTCAAAGGGATCACGATTATTCGTACACTTACGAGGTACATACTGTCTATACTTGCAGAGGCGCTTAAAAAATGTATAAATGAGGAATTCTACAAAAATTCGCACCTTAATTGGAGCCAAATATGGTGATATTGCAATTTGCTGCCCGTACCCCGCAGTAACAATTTTTTTCTGTAGGTTGATACCAAAAAACATGTTTTCAGGTGCGAGCCTCAAAAAAAGGCAAATTTAAGTTATTTCCAACAAAAAACTGATTTGTTCGCTAAAGCTATTTCATTCTTCTAGCTATCTGCCTCGAAAAACGAGTGAAAGAGACTTCTATACTTGGAGCACACATACATATCAGGTACCAATCGCTTCGTCTTGGTCTCCAGAAGAGAACTCTGACCCTTTGAAGAACAAAAAAAAGCTCAAAGCGTGACAAACGGTTATTCAGTCCCTAAAATCGACGTTTTTTTCATTTTTTCGCGATTTTTTCCGAAAATAGATTAAAAGATGCCTCTATAGTTGGAGCACACATACATATTAGGTACCAATCGCTTCGTTTTGATTCCCAGAATGAACTCTGACCCTTTGAAGAACCAAAAAAAGCTCAAAGCGTGGCAAACGGTTATTCAGTCCATAAAATCGACGTTTTTTTTTATTTTTCGCTATTTTATCCGAAAATAGATTAAAAGATGCCTCTATAGTTGGAGCACACATACATATTAGGTACCAATCGCTTCGTCTTGATCCCCAGAATGAATTCTGACCCTTTGAAGAACCAAGAAACACCTGCTCAAAGCGTGGCAAGCGGTTATTCAGTCCCTAAAATCGACGTTTTTTTTTTATTTTTTTTCGCGATTTTACCGGAAAATCAAGTTAAAATGACTTCCGTAAGTGAGGTTCATCTACCTATCGGAAGCTGGTGACTTAGATCCTCAGTATGTAGCCTGATCCGTCATCAAATTATAGATAGTAAATTGTAATATAGCTGAAAACCTTCACATATTAATTTATCGTGTTTTAAGTAAGAAAATACGATTCAATTTTTTTTCTCTTTTTTTTATAACAAACTTTTTTTTGTTAGTATGAGTATTAGAACGAGATAAAAGTTAGTCAAGTAAAAAAAATAAATACATAGAATACAATACATCAAAAATATTCTAAATTTTTTATTATTGATAGATACTATTTAACAATGGTATAAATATATTTATTTTTCATTAATTAAACACTATAAAAAAGAACTTGGCATATAATATTAAATAATCTTGTGTTTAACAGAAACAATACATATTAAAGCTCGAATAATATGAAATAAACAAAATTTTAATACTGTTTTTGATTCAAAAAGAAATTATATAATTATATAAATTATACCAAATATATCATATAATTATATTATTTTTTACATTATTTTCAATCATTTTTTCTGATTTTCACTGATATTGTACATTATTTTATTTCTAAATTTAGTTAGTTCTGGCGATTCTATTTTACATCAAACTTGAGTTGATAAAACGTTTTGTGTATGCTCTGGTCGATTCAAAAAACAAAAGCCATTTTTTGTAGTTGAGAGAAATTTTGTTACAAGATGTTCGTTGTTTACCTCTTCAACTACCCCTGCGTACC